GACAGCGGGTTGTAGAGAAATAATCGAAGAGGCCCCAGCACGCGCATTCTCCAGCCATGCGCCGCGAGCCCTCGAGACGGCTGCGCTCAACAGCTGGGCGCCTCGAGGGAGAGGTCGCGTCCGAAAAAGGAATGTCGGACGAGCGCTGCCCTGTCGCGCTGCTGGGCTGCGGTCTGAGCCCCAGTGGCGCTTGATGATGATGATGATGATGATGATGATGATGATGATGGTGTTCACGCGTCGGCGATGAAGGTTTTGAAAGGGTTATGGCGCGGCCGGCGGGCGCGAGTGGCCCGCATGGCATTGTTGGACAGGGATCGCGCCCCCCCCCTAGCACGAGCGCGAGGGCGTTCGAATGATTCCAACATGCGCTCGCGAGAGGTCCGTCTGGTCGCATCTGATGAACACGTTTAAACACCGACAGCTTCCGTACGAAATCGCAAGAGCATACGCGCAGACTTTTTGTAACAAATCCATGTTGCAGCACCTCGTTGTTTTACATGCTTTCGGGGGACTCGATGTTCAAATGGTTGTGGAACCCATGATGTTCAACGATTTCGGCATGCGCACGCGACGTCGCGCGTGTGCACTTCGCCACATGTTTGTTGCGAGAGTTTGTTTTGTTTTTTTCTGGTGGGAAATTGCTGATTTGCGGTCAACGAGTGCGGGCGTATACTTAGTGTTTTTTGCAAGGGATGGGCGGGCAGCGTCGATACCAGTTTAGTTGGGGTATTCGACGTGGCAGAATCGCATGTACATGGCACATTCCCAAACCGGGCTGATAATCCCGCCATTGGGGGATGGTCGATCCTACGACTTTTTTAGACATGATCGTCTATGTGGTGCATGCTGAGTGGTGCAGCCCATGTGGCGCAATATATGCGGTACAATTACTTTTTGTTCGCACTGAGTTGTCCAGTCCACTGCTCGCGCAATCATCCCATCCACCCACCCGTTTCACGATTGCGTTAAGCAAAAAGTTGCAGTTCCTCCCGAATGTCGCTTGCGGTGGAAAACAGCACCTCTTCTTTAATGTAGAGGATCCCGTCTTTCTCTCTGTCACTCACATCGTTTCTCTATGTCTTTCTCTCTGTATCACTTATTGATTATCTCTCTCTCTCTTTCTTCTCTTCGTGCGCCACCAGTATAAATATATTCTCTTTTCCCTCCGCCGTCCATATGTGATGCTCCCTTGTTCGCGTTGGCTTGTCTTTGCTAATTGTGCACGTAGGATCAGAGTGGTACACATTCATAGGCATGCGCGGGGCGATTCTAACATACAGCGCGTAGTTGGGATAAGCAGACGGTTCACGAGGCCACCGACTGACGCAACCGCAGCGTTTCGAAACAGATTGCGCGGACATCTGTTCGGGGACACGTTCCAGTCATTATCCGTAAGGGCTTCGCCCCCTGCCGCCGGCCCCCTCTCTCGAAGAATGGGCCATGGAAGAGCTAAGTCATGAGGCCTTGGCGCTGTCGTGAAGCAGTATCGAAACTTCATGCGAAGCCGAGTCGCAATCAGCAAAACCAACTGATCACAAGAGGGGTTACCACACCTGGCGATGGTAAGACGTGTATGGTTTAAGGGCTTGGTTACCACACCTTGCGATGAAAAGGCCGAGGGAGTTCTCGCAGTTTGGGTTACCACGCCTTGCGATGGATGTGCGTGATGGGTTGGAATTTCAGAAATGTGGCAAATCCCCTGTGTTTTTGGACCCTGACCCCGCGGATCTGCGTAAGGGGTGGCGCCGAATTTCAGAAATGTGGCAAATCCCTGTGTTTTTGGACCCTGACCCCGCGGATCTGCGTGAGGGGTGGCACCGAATTTCAGAAATGTGGCAAATCCCTGTGTTTTTGGACCCTGACCCCGCGGATCTGCGTGAGGGGTGGCACCGAATTTCAGAAATGTGGCAAATCCCATGTGTTTTTGGACCCTGACCCCGCGGATCTGCGTGAGGGGTGGCACCGAATTTCAGAAATGTGGCAAATCCCCTGTGTTTTTGGACCCTGACCCCGCGGATCTGCGTGAGGGGTGGCACCGAATTTCAGAAATGTGGCAAATCCCATGTGTTTTTGGACCCTGACCCCGCGGATCTGCGTGAGGGGTGGCACCGAATTTCAGAAATGTGGCAAATCCCATGTGTTTTTGGACCCTGACCCCGCGGATCTGCGTGAGGGGTGGCACCGAATTTCAGAAATGTGGTGTTTTTGGACCCTGACCCCACGGATCTGCGTGAGGGTGGCACCGAATTTCAGGAATGTGGCAAATCCCCTGTGTTTTTGGACCCTGACCCCGCGGATCTGCGTGAGGGGTGTCGATTTCGAGCCCCCCCAGCAATTCAGACAACGCGCCCAGGGGACGCTGGAAAATCCTGTTTGGGCCTCCCCCCCCCTCGCGCGGTCAATCATCTAGTTACATTAACCAGCAAGAAGCAGAATTGTAACACTGGAAACTACAAGCTACAACTGGTACTGGAAACTGCGAACCCGTGCCTACAGCCTGGTGGCACCACAAGGGGGCCGGCGGATCATTTCTCCTGCTTCATTCCTCTTCGCCTTCCTTCTCTTCTCCGTTCCCCCCTTCCCTGGCGTTCTCCCCTTCTTCCCCAGCCATTCCATTCCCCTTTCATTCTCCCCTTGCCTCCCTTCCCGCTCATCTCTCCCCCGATGACGTACGGGCTTGAGGCCGGCACCATCGGGGAGGTTGGTCTTCGTAAGTCTTTGCCAGCATGTTTTCGCTACAGGACCACGCAAGCAAAGGGTCGGGCCTAAACGGTGCATCGGCAGGAAGCCACTACTTGAAATGCAGACCTAGACAAATATGATAAGAAGCGACAGGCCACTGCGGGAGGCGTCCCCTGAAAGGGCGAAAGGCCCATGAGCCTGCCATTGAGGTCGCAGATCTGGGCGAAAGTCGCGTTTTGAAAATGAGTCGCCCCCCATCCGTCCGCTTGTTCTGCAGTTTTAACACGTTGTCAGATATGAGCGAAGGATGTCTCAAGCGCGAGCACCGTTTTGAAACGGAGCTGCCTTCCATCTGTGCAGCTGTGGCACTGGCCTTAACTACTCGAGTGTCATCACACCCGGGCAAGCTCAAGCGGGAGCCGCATTTTGCAAAAGGAAGAGCCTTGCATACATGCAGCGGCTATTCTGTTGCAAGACGAATGTTCGCAGCCCGAAGGCGAGAACCGCTTTTTGGACGCGATTTGCCTTCCATCCTTCCAACTGGTGGTAACTTTGATAGAAATGTGTGTGTGTGGCGTTCTGGCGAGATCCACATGCTGTAAATCACTCACCATCTACCCGTGCAGCAGGTTAGAACTTGTGAGACGATTGTGCGCTTGCAGGCGAGAACAACGTTTTTGGAAACCATCCCCCTCAATCCATGCAGCAATTGGCAACTCCCAGTATTGTTTCATGAAGGTCAAAGATGGTGAGGGGATTTCAGGCGAAACGCCGGGCCCGCCTTACTTTCCAACATGGCTTAATTCGCGGCGAGCAGGAACTGCATTACAAGGAAGAGGGACGAGCGAGGAGGGGGAGGGAGGAGGGAGGAGTCACTGCGGGCCCCGTCTTGCGACCTTGAGGAAGACGACGCGGTGGAGGAGGGGAAGGAACCCGACGCCAACGAAAACACTTGAAACGCGCGCGATTAATTTTTCTGGTGGGCGCCAACTATGCACCTGCACTGCTCCCCGCCAGGTCAACCCTGATCCCAGAAGTGATGTGCATGCCTTCCTGACCAGGCCACGAGGGCGTATACACCGATCCTGGGCCCAGGATGGGCCTGGCTAGAATCGGTGCATGTGTATACGATCAGGAATATTTGCTTAGCGTGTCGCGACGCGAGCTCTGGCCCACCAAGCTTCGGAGCGACACGCTACCCACTCCCAAATTCCCAAGCGTCCACGTCCCGAGTCTTTCGCAGCCTACCATCCCGCGGAGCGGAACGACACGCTATCCGCTTGCAGGGCACAGCGTGCCGCATGGGCAGCCGAGTCGATTCGCTGAGCACAACGGTAGTTATTGGCTTCTTCCTGCATTTGGGAGATTCAGGATGCAGCTAGACCCCCCAGAGCGCCTTCAAATATCTCCCTCGGGCTCCGTTCTTTCTCTGGCCCCGCGGGACTGACGATCCACCCGTCCTTCAAGGCCCTTGTGCGCCACCGCGCGTACAGCAGCGGAGGATGAGGAGGCAGATGAGCAGCACGAGCCAGAACGAGCATGGACAAGAGCGAATAGGTGCGCAGTCGAAGGAGAAGCGGGCGGAGATGAACGCGGAGGAGGAGGAGGAGGAAGTGGAGGAGAAGGAAGAGGAGGAAGAGAAGGAGGAGGGGATGTTTGCCGTCAACGACGAAATGGAGCCCACGTGCTCCACAAGCGGGTGGGTGAGGCCCGCGAGGGGAAAAATTATGGCTAACCCAAACAGGGACAGATGGTTGCCAAATCAGTCTTGACCCCACTCTTCTTCGGATGGAGTCCACACTTCAATCTGCCCCAAGCTGTGCTGGAGTAGTAGGAGGAGGAGCAGGGCGAGGAAGGGATGGAGTGTGGTGGGAGGGGTCAGGAGGAAGTGAGTGAGAATGCAGAAAGGATGAGAGAGGATGGGATAACTAGGGGGGACGGAGGGGGTACGGCAGGAACGAGGGGGTAGGTCGGAAGATGGAGGAGGAGGAGGAGGAGGAGGAGGCGGAGGCCAGAGTGAGAAGTGGGGTAGATGCTGAGACCGGTGCGGTGAGTGTTGAATCATGCGGGACGGAAGAGGAGGGCGGAGGGAGGTGGAGAAGGAAAAGGAGGAGGAGGCGGGGCGAATGGGTGGAGAAGGAGGAGGAGGAGACACGAGGGAGTGTGGGGAAGGCCTTGTCTTCGCGGCGGAAGCTCGCCATGGACAGAAGCACCCGCGGGTTCCTTCTGTGTGGCGCTCCTGGTTCCTCGTGGCAGCGCTCCTCCTCGTCCTCCTCCTTGATCCGCCTGCGTGGGGTGTCGTCGTCTCAGCAGAGGACTGCGGGGCCGCGTCTCGGCGCCGAGCGTGGCGGTGCTGGGCGGCGACGGCGTCCTCAGGGCGCCCGCGCTGCCGAGCAGGCCGACCCCCCACGCGCGAGACGCCCGCGCGGCTGCGCCTCGAGTGCCCCGCGATGGCGCCCTGCACAGGGGCGGAACGCATCGACAGGTTTCGGAAGTCTTCTCCTGTCTTCGCATCTTCTCGGACGCGTTTGCGACCCGGGAAGGTTCCGTCAGCTGCACCGCGCCGGTTGGCCATCGTCCGAGAGAAGGACGGTGAGCGTTCGAGCATCGAAGTTCGAGGTCAAGGCTTATTGGTGATCTGGGGCGGTCTGGGCATCTTTTTTGGAGGGCCGCTTGCAGACCTCATGGGGGCATCTTCCCCTCTCCTCCTGCTCCCCGACAGTGCGCCGGTGGATTTTTGTTGGGTGTCGAAGTAGACGTTTCGGCCCTTGCGGGACTCCACCGAGCCACACCGACTCCCGATGTCTGGAGCTCCCTCCTGCATCCGCGAGCGTCCTGGGTCAAGCCTCCCGACGGAGAGCTGGAGCGCCGCGCAGCGCCGCCAATCTTCGGGGGGGAGGGCGTGTCGATATCGATGCCTTCGCTCGTTCCTCGGTACCGCTGAGCCTGTCCCCGTCTCCACCGGGCCATGGCATCTCGGCCCCTCGATCCCACCACCCCAGTTGGCGATAGTCCCCTCGAAACTGGCAGGGCACAGCCCACACCTCTAGGAAGGTACATCGGCCAGTGGGCCCCGGGCTGCGCCAGTGGGGACAGTGATCGGAGAAGGAGGAGGAGAAGGAGGAGGAGGAGAATCAGGAGGAAGAGGACGAGGACGAGGAGGAGGCGGAGGAGGAGGAAGAGGATAGGGACGATGAGAAGGAGGAGGAGGAAGAGGAGGAGGAGGAGGAGGAGAAGGGATGCTCAGCTTCCGCCTTCTTGGGGGCTTCGGCTGTGCGCAAGAGTGGCCCTTCGCCGTAGTGACCTTCTGTGCGGGCCCCCGATCACTGGATACCTGAATTGTGTTTTCGCGACCGACGAGATCGGTCGCTACCGATTTTGCTTCAAGCTCCAGTATCGGTCGCGACCGATTTGCTGCAACATCGGTCCGCGACCGACCGGTCGCGACCGATTCTGGTCGCGACCGATTTTGGAACCGCGCACGATGTGTCGCAACCGATTTGGAGTGCCGATCGGTCGCTGCCGATCGCGACCAGAAAAGTCCGGGATCCGATGCTCTGGGGCCCACAGGGGCCCCTGCAGCACTGGTGCGTGAGCTCGGAGTGCCCCCCCCCATGGCGGCCCCCTAAGGCCCAGGCCGCGCTCCGAAGGTCACTCCTGCCTAGTAGACTCGGAGTCACTCCTGCGCGCAGCCGACGGTATCGGCGGATCTTCTTTCCCCCGGCGGCGCGCCTCGCCAGCCCAAGAATCCGCTCCGATGGCCACGAAGGAGGTGGCGCACGTCTTCCGCTGGCACCGGGCGTTCGCCAAGCTCAAGGCAGCCCCCAAGGACCAGGGGCAACGACGGGTGGTGGCTCAGGGGGATGCATCGAACCCCGACCGCCCATCCGTCGCCGAGAGCCAGCATCATGCATGAACGTGCGGTTTCGCAATCGGGGGCTCATCGCCGATGTGTCGCCAGTTCAAGCTCAGTGTTTCCTGCCCTGAGCCCGTCCTCCCTACCCAGACCTCCGACGCCGTGATTTTTCAGAACGTCGACCCCCAAAGGTCTCGCCCCATTCCCCAGGACCAGTTTTTCATCCTGGGTCATTCTTTGACGGTCCCGAGGCCCTGTAAGGACCCCCAGTGGCTGGAAATAGCGAAAAACCTCCCGTCGACAGTTTTTCAAGACTCGAGGGGGTCTGGGTATCTTTCCCCCTCGCAAGGAGGTGGAGCCGCTGTCGCGCTACACCAATTTCACCCTGGGCCACGTCTGGGAGAAGTTCGACTGCCAGACCACGCTGCTGTGCAAGGAGCGGAGGCAGGCGGAGCGGCACCGCCGCCACTGAGGGGTGCCACCTCCAGCGAGGAGGTCCGCGATGCCTCCCCCTGGAGGGCCCCCCCCCCGCTGGCTTCTCGGGCTCGTGGTGGAGGTGTTGCCTCGCCTCTCCTCTTGGGGAGGCGTGGGGCTCGAGTTCGCGGGATCTCGGGTTTCCCGACGCTGCCTGACGGGCCCGTCCTGGGTTTTGACGGTCCGGTTTTCGTGGGGTGCTTGCGGCGGGAGCTCGCCTCAGATCTCAGGCTGTGTCTCGTCATTCTCCCGACGGCTCCGTGTGCCCAACCCGAGCCCCCCGAACCCGAGTCTTCCTTCCGTCTCCCAGACATCTTTGCTCCTACAAGAAGTCGGCGGCGAGCGAGGGGGGGGAGAGAGATGGAGAAGGCCTTCTCAGAAGACGGCGGGACTTCTCAGAAGCCCTCGCGCCCTCTGAGACGTTTTCTATGTCTTCGGGGCGTAGACAACCTCTCTGAAGGGCGGGGGGACTTCCGAGCCGCAAGAGAAGGTCCGCCCCTTCCCACTTCCCCCCCTCGCTCGCTGCCGAAAGGAGGCCATGCTGCCGCTGGCGAAGCGCAACCCGCAGCTCTTCGACCCCGAGCTCGACGTGATGAGCACGGTGAGGCTCTCGCTGGCGGCCCCGAAGAGCAGCCCCCTCGCGAAGCAGTGAGAGCGGCGCTGAGCGCGCGGCCTCTCTCGCCCCCTCGCTCTTCGAGTAGGAGACCGACCACGTGATCGATTCACCCCAGCATTGGAATGGTCGTCGGCGCGGCGGGAACTACGTAGTTTTGCTGGTAGATCTACGAACATCTCTACGACAAGAAGATCCAGTTCGGGGTAAATCAATTATGTAGTAGATCTCTTACTCGAGCTCTGCAGGGGCAACGTTCGAGGGCTATGGGCTCCGGGGCAGCGCTAGGCCCAGACCCCCTCGAGTCACGACGAAACGTCACGACGGAAATTTGTTCGCAATTTTCAGCCTCTGGGGGCCCTTGCTGGGCCTCGGGACCGTGGGTGCAACGCTGGTCCCGGGGAAAGGGGCGAGACCTTTGGGGGTCGACGTTATGAACAAAAAGCACGACGTCGGAGGTCTTGGGGGGGACAGGCTCAGGACTGTCCGAAGCTCGAGGTGTTTGGGCGGGTTCGTCAGATATCGGTGGCGTTCCAGCTTCGGGATGCCTTCCAGCGGCTGCGCCTCGCCGAGAGCGCTCCGGGGGTGCCCGGATCGTCCTGGACAACCACCAGAGACCCGAGCCATGACCCAAAAGTCGATGGGGAGGTAGGCTCGGGGGGAGACGTATCGACCCCCGACCGCCCATTCATCGCCGATAGGAGCCTGACAGCCCGCCCCACCCAGTGCCGTGCGGATTCTCGATCGGGGGCCAATCGGCGATATCGTCGATTCCAGTTCAATGCTCCCCCCCCTGAAGCGCTCCCCCCCCAACGTTGCCTCCCCCCCCCCGCTCTCCGCGGCCGCGCAGCGCTGCCACGTGGATCTTTACGTTATACGGTCAGATCGCTGGAATAGGGCCCGCCTCGGATCCAGGAGCGGTCCCTTGGGCTCGTCGGGTCCTTTCCTACAGGGGCTCCTCGTGGGGGTTGCCAGAGGTGGATCCTGGCCCCCAGGGCGCCCCCGGCCTTCCGCGTCAGCGGTGCGGACGGACCCCCCTGGGATGCCCTCCCCAGCCCCGCGCGTCGTGAAAAACATGAGGGGAGGCTTTCCCCTGTTTCCGGCCCCGGGGGGGCCCTCGTTGGGCCTTGGGACCGTCGAACAATGACCCGTGGGACGAACGAGCAGTCCCGGGGAAGTGGTCCAGACCTCTGGGGGGTCCACGTTGCGAGAACCTCACGCGTCGGAGTTCTGAGTGCGTGGGCCCCCCCTGGGCGGGGCTCTTTGGGCCTCGCAAGGGGTGCTCTCTGGAGGGCGCGGGGGCCTCCTCAGATATTCCAGGGGCGCCTGTCGGGCCAGAGGCACCTTCCAGCAGTGCCCAGCCTCCCCCATGATGGCGCTTGCCTCGTGGGCCCGGGAGCAGCCAGGGCCGCTCAGAGGGGGCCCCGCTCATCCCTGCTCGAGTCTTTCCCGCGGCAAGGCCGTCCGCGAGCTGCAGGCGCGGCTCCTCCGCAAGCGCACAGCGTGGATGAGGCGACGGGCCCCGAGCTCCAGGAGTTGCGTGCCTGGGTGGCGCGGGGCGCCGAGGAGATCGCCCCCACGCGTGGCCCCAGGGCCGCCAGCAGCGCTGAGCGCCGCCCAGCGCTGCTGGCCCAGCTCAGGGCCGAGCGCAGGCGCTGAGCTCCCACCGCCTCGCGGGGGGTTCGGAGCGGCCGAGCGTGGCCAGCCTCACGGCGCCGCGCGGCTCGCCTCAGACCCTGCCACACGAAGCGGCCCGGGGGAGGACCCCCCCCCTCCCTGGAGCACGCGACGACGGCCCCGAGGGGGCAGCAGGCGGCCGGCGTGTCGCAGGAGAGCTCGTAGCGGGGGCGGAGCGTGCTCCCCATCCGTGCGGGCAGCTCGGAGCTGAGGCCGCCGACGAGTTCTCAGCAGGTTTTGCGTGAGGGTCGGGCCGGTGTTGATCGCGGTGCGACGCGATGGCCCGGTCGTGTTCGGTTTCGGTGGGCTTCCGGCTGGGTGATCCGAACCCCTCGCGGCCCAGGGGAGGTGGACCCCTGGCGGTCGCCCCCCCTCTTCTTGCTTTCTCCTCGCCCCCCCCGCCGACGCTTGATCGATGTCGCTGCCGCTGCCGAAGCTCGCCATCGCCTCAGGTTTGCGCTATCATCACCACCATCCTCATCATCATCATCATCATCATCATCATCACCACCAGCACCATCACCATCACCATCACCATCACCATCACCATCACCATCACCATCATCATCATCATCATCATCATCATCATCATCATCGTCATCATCATCATCATCCAGCATCATCATCATCATCATCACCATCACGATTATCATTATCATCATCATCATCATCATCATCAGCATCATCATCATCATCATCATCATCATCATCCATCATTATCATCATCAGTAGCAGTATCATCATCACCACCACCATAATCGTTAGCATAATAATCATCGTCGTCGTTGTTGATATGATTACTGCCATCGTCATCGTCGTCGGCATCATTACCATCATTACCATCATTACAATCATCAGCATCACAATCACCACCATTATCAGCAACAGCATTAGCATCATCACCAGCATTATTATTAGCATCGTCATCAATATTATAGACATCGTCAGCATCATCATGAGCATCAGCAACATAGCCATCATCAGCAAACTCATCATTCGCATCAAGATCATCAGCATCAACATCATCATCGTCGGCATCATCATCATCACCATCACCATCACCGTTATCATCAGCAGCGTCATCAGTATCACCTGCATATACATCATCATATGCATCACCATCATAATCATCAACATCATCATCAGGAGCAGCATCATCATCATTTGTATCATCATTTTTTTCATCATTGCCACCATCATGATCATCCCCTTCATCCCCCTCCTCCTGTTCCGCTACCTCATTCTCCCCGTCCTCCACCTCCCCCTCCTCCTCCTCCTCCTCCTCCTCCTCCTCCTCCTCCTCCTCCTCCCCACTGCTCCTCCTCCAGGCCGCCTTCTGAGGTTTCAAAGCTGCCGCCCAGCCGATCGGAGTGCAGAACATTGCCCGAGGTGACTGCGTAGTCCATCGCTGGACCGTTTCGGGGGGCGGGGGAGATGGGACGGCCCAGGTACATCCTCTGCTTACGGTAAACATGGTTTGATTTTCCCATCGAGATGTTGACCTTGAAACGCACCAGGGACAGACGTAGAGACACGAAACGTCGGATCCATGCAAGAGCAGCAGACCAAACTGGAGATCATGAAGTATTAGCAGGTCGTGCCCAACGACACTTCGCAGACAATGGAGGAGGTTGCCGCAAGTTCAAACAATGAACCTCGTGCTCGCGGGGCACCATTTGCGCATGTGCCATCGGTTGGTACGTGGATTTCGCACAGACCGAAAGTACCACCAGCAAACAGTTTCTTCGAACGAGTTGGGCGATACGGTGGACACACTCACAGCCACATCTCACAGCGAGTGTGATACCTTCTGCGAACAAGCAGTGGGCCTAATGAGCGACAAGTAAAGCAACGATGCTATGTTTCAGTATGAGAAACCTGGATTAGAGCATCAATATTCACAGTTTCTTCAGCCAGGCTTGCAACTTGATCATCAAGAAATAACGCTTCCGCAAGTCAGAAGGGGGCAGCGAAGTTTGCATTTACTATACACCCGAGGATGTAAACACACACATGCCACGCATTTTTACATATGTCGTCATCACGTCAATATTGTAGCGTGCATCACAGGGCGACTCCTATGGCAAAGTCTGGTGCGCTGGCAGAGAGCAATCGACATTTGAGAACAACACTGATCAGCAAGGTTCAACACAACTTGATATTCGTTGTTGGTAGATTGTTGAGCTACGAGGCGAATGGGAGTGTATGTGTCGTGACAGGGCACGAAGGGCGCAGCACTCTTCACGTGTCTGCTGCGGATATGGAGACACTCCAGCAACTGAGGGGGTAGGGCTTGATGCGTTTCTGGTCTCTCTTGCTCGACCCCTGGGCGGTGCCTGCTTGCGTGGCCCGATATGCTTGAAGGCCAGGTGTGGAAGGCTGGAGGCGCTCCGATCCCAATCCCATAAGAGCCAGCGGCGCGCATTTGGCACGACGGATCTTGAGGAGGTGGCGGGGGTGGGAGTGTGTGGAGGGGGGGGGGGCGTTTGGCCAGCAGTACTTGGCCCTCCTGAGAGAGGCGTGCGCGTGCGACGCAGCCGCAGCGCCGACCTCCCTGCTTCGCGCACCCATGCAGACGCGTCTTTGCACAGGTCTCCCTGCTGGCGGGGCACCCGTGCACCTGGAACAACAAACCAGGTAATGGGACGCCCCAGGCATACCCCCAGGATTGGCAACGGTCCAGGGGGCTAGCATCCACATCACACCTGAGGGTCAGCGAAGTCCCTTCAAGCCATGACCGACGCACAGACCTCCAACGGCCTTATCCTTCCTTGTCCTATACCCTACGTCTCCGTCTCCTCCCTCCTGGCTCCTCCCTCCTCGTGTTGTTTTTCACAACGTCGACCCCTAGAGGTCTGGACCCCATCCCCGGGAGCGGTCTTTCATCCTGAATCGTTTTTTGACGGTCCCGAGGCCCGGCAAGGGCCCCGGGAGGCCGACAATAACAAAAAACCTTTTTGTTTTTTCACAGCGCGAGAGGATCTGGCCCTCCCCCCCTCCTACAATCCGCCCGCCGCCGCACAGCGCCTCCGCCCCAGCGGTGGGCTCCTCGGCTCCCCCGCCCCAGCGGCGGTCGCTGCCGCACGCCGCCGCCTCAGCGGGCCCGGCCGCCCTGCCGCCGAGGAGCCCCAGGTCAGAGGCCGTGGACGACGACGACGACGACGTTGCCGACGCCGACGCCGCTTTCGATCCCCATGGAGTAGCTTTTGGCTGCTCTGGGCAATGGTTCTTCTTGGCGAATGTGTAAACTGTACCCAAATGCCCGGAGGCGGCGGGGGAAGGTCCTAGTCGCGGGTCTGGTAAACGAACTTCCTCCCTGGGGCGTGGTTTGTGTAATGAAGGGAAACTTCTTGGCGAATGTGTAAACTGTACCCAAATGCCCGGAGGCGGCGGGGGAAGGTCCTAGTCGCGGGTCTGGTAAACGAACTTCCTCCCTGGGGCGTGGTTTGTGTAATGAAGGGAAACGATTATATATATATATATATATATATATATATAACATCGCCCGCCCCCCCCCCCTGGACCCCCCAAAATGATTGAGTGGGGCGGACTAATAGAATTCAGCCGCCGGAAACTGTTTTTTTAATCGTCCGCCCCCCGGCGTTTGCTTTTGCCCCTTTGGGGGAACTGATTTTCTATTCGTCCTCCTTCGCTCGCTTGATCACCCGCGGCCGCGGGGGGAGGATTGCGGAGGGGGGACGGGGTAATTAGGGAGTAGTTGAGGGAAGGGGTTTTCGAAGAGGCGCTTGATCACCCTCGTCCTTGCGGACGGCCGCCGGTCGTCCTTGCGGACGGCCGCGGCGATTGGGAGGTGGGGGATGAGGAGGAGGAGGAGGAGGAGAGGAGGAGGAGGAGGAGGAGGAGGAGGGAGGAGGAGGAGGAAGAGGAGGAGGGGGAGGGCAAGCTAGGTGCGCTCGCGTCATATATGACAGCCTACCCCTCCCTCCCATCCCTTACCATGGCGTAGATCTCCTCTCTACTCGCACAGTCGGATGTCGAGCAGGGCAATGATCCCGAAAGGGTACGCGATGCATTGTAGAGCACGGCGTGGCATGGCGTTGAAGAGCACCGCAAAGCGTAACATGTCACACCATGGCGTGGCGTGGTGTAGTGAAGAATTGCATCGCAAATCTTTGCAAATCAAGGCATGGCATCGCACAGCGGCCCCGAACATAACATTGCATATCATGGCGTTGAAGATCAAAGCGTAGCATGGCAGAGCACGACGTGGCACGTAAGCACTCCTCCTCCTCCTCCTCCTCCTCCTCCTCCTCATCCTCCTTCTCCTCCTCTTAATTATTCTTCCTCGTCCTCAATTGCGAGGACGTCCGAACGGGAACCGCCGCGTGGTTCATTATCTCCATATCCTGCCTGCGCTCTCCTTGCCACGCACGCATTCATCGTCTCCCTGGGTGCCGCCGCGAGAAACGAGGGGCGCATCGAACGAGTAAGGGCGCCTGGCCCCTTACGACGCTTCCCTCAGGCTCAGATCGCGAGAAAGGGAGGGGCGGGCGATGGTCTTTTGATTTCCCTGAACAGCTGCCCCCTTCGTCCTCGTCCTTGCGGACGGGGGGGGGGGAGGAGAACGAACGGGAGGAGAAAAAGGGGGAGGAAACGGAGCAAAAGGAGGAGGAGGAGGACGAGGAGGAGAAGGACGAAGAGGAGGAGGAGGAGGAGGATAAGGAGGAGGAGAACGAGGAGGAGGAGGAGGAGGAGGAGGAAAAGGAAAAGGAGGAGGAGGAGGAGGACGAGGAGGAGGAGGCGGAGGAGGAGGAGGAGGAGGGCGAGCTCGCCCTGAAAAATCACCCCGTCCACCCCCCTGGCCCCCGTGCCCTGGATCGCCGCCCCGTGCCCCCCCCCCCTGGCCTTCCAGGCAGCCCGGAATTGTCAGCCCCCCGTCTGCCTGCCCTGCCCCCCCCGCTATTGCGGGGGCGAGGGGGCCCGCGAAACAATTGTTTTAATCGTCCGCCCCGAACGTTTTTTTTATATAAAAAAAATCGTTTCCCCTCATCATGCTGAAAGTGGCCCGGGGCGGCGGGATCTGACCGGGGCGGGGCGGGTAGAGCGCGGTATACAACAAAGCCTCGAGGAGAAGAACGCATCCCTGCCTGGCAAACCACGCGGCGAGCCTGGTCGACTGCAGGGCTTGCAGGGCGCAGGACGCAAGAGGCGGGGCAGGGGCGCGGTCGGCCGCGCAGCGGCAGGAGCAGCGGAGCCGAGCGGTGCCTCGCTGCAGGCTCTCTTGTCAGTGCCGCGGCGACCGCGCCTCTCGCTCTGAAGGTCCCACCCGCTCGGAGGGAGGCGCGAGGGGCGAGGGGGGCGCGGGGGCGAGGGGCTGGGGAGGAGAGAGAGAGAGAGAGAGAGAGAGAGGAGGGATGGACGAGGGACGAAGGACTAGGATACGTATCTCGCGGGCGCGAGGCGCATGTCCGTACCCGTGGCCTCGCGTTCCGGGTTCCTGGGCCGCGACCCCGCGGTTACGGGGCGTCGTTTCGCGGATGCCCTCCCGCATCCGCGGGATCACGCCCAGGAGTCCAGACCACGAGGGCGCCAAGGCGGATATGTTCGCCGCTCGTGAAGAAGCTCACCCCTGAGACCCGGACGTTGCATTGTCGTGTCTCCATATAGCGCTTCGCTGGAAGACTCGGATAGTCAGACAGTCCTGGAGCGCCACAGTACTAAATTATTAGGATTCCTAAAACCATTTCAAAAAAATCAGGGAATCCTATATTTTTTAGTAATACAATTTTAGGAATGATATTGCACCATTGAAATGCACTTGAATATTCGGCGCGTCCCGACCGCCCCGTGGCCATCCCGTGGCCGTCGCGGTTCGCTGCCGTCGGCCGTCGGCCGTCGTCGGCGCGATCGTCGTCGTCGTCGTAGTCGTTGGACCGCGTGGGCGAAGAAGAAAAGGCTGAGGAGGATGGGGGGGGGGCAGGAGGGGAGGAGGAGGAGGTTGAGGAGGAGGAGGAGGATGAGGGATGAGCAGGAGGAGGAGGAGGAGGAGGAGGAGGACGTGGACGAGGAGGAGGAGGAGGAGGAGGAGGCGGACAAGAAGAATGAGGAGGATAAGGCGGAGGAGGAGGAGGACGGGAGGGGGGAAGGGGGGAGGAAGATGACAGGGGGGATGAGAGAAGAAGGAGAAGAAGGATGAGGATGATGGAAGAGGAGGATAATGCAGAAGGAGCAGTGATAGGAGGAGAAGGAGGAGCAGGAGGAGGAGGAGGAGGAGGAGGAGGAGGAGGAGGAGGAGGGACATCAGGAGGATGAGGAGGAGGAAAAGGGGGAGAAGGGGGGAGGCACAGAAAGGAAGGATATGGAGCAGGGCGATGAGAGGAGGATAGAGGAGGGGGCGAGGGAAGGAGGACCAGGAGGATGAAGGGAGAACTGGGGGAAGGACAGAGAGTGAGGAGGAGGAGGAGGAGGAGGAGGAGGAGGAGGAGGAGGAGGAGGAGGAGGAGGAGGAGGAGGAGGAGGTCGGGGGAGGCTGAAGCTGAGAGGAGGAGGAGGAGGAGGAGGAGGAGGAGGAGGAGGAGGAGGAGGGAGGAGGCTGAGGCTGAGAGGAGGAGCAGGAGGAGGACGACGAGGAGGACGAGGACGAAAACGAGGGGGAAGAGGGAAACAAGAGGGGGAGGAGGATGAGGAGGGATGAGCAGGAAAGGAGGAGGAGGAGGAGGAGGAGGAGGAGGAGGAGGAGGAGGAGGCTGAGGAGGAGGAGGAGGACCAGGAGGAGGAGAAGAGGAGGAGGAGGAGGAGGATGAGGTGGAGGAGGAGGAGGAGTATGATCATGATGATGAGGAGGAGGAGGACGAGGAGGAGGAGGAGGAGGAGGAGGAGGAGGTGCATGGCAACCACCTCGTCGGAAAAGGGCAATAATTGTCGGAGGCTCGTCCCTGGGGACTCTCCTGGGGCCTTCTTGGAGCCGTCTGGGGGCTCACCCTGGCTCCCCAGGGCTCTCAGACGGCCAAGGTGGCTGGGGGTGCGAAGATGGTTCCAAAAGGCCCAAGAGGTCTCCAAGACGGCCCTAACCAAAGGGGGCACCATAGCGCTTGGTTTGGGTTGTTTCGGGAACTGTCTCGGGGCTCGCTTGGAGCCGTCTTGGGGCCCTCCTGGGTTTCCCAAGGCCGTCAGAAGGCCAAGGGGGCTGCAAAACGGCGCCAGGAGATGCCAAATAGGGTCCCAAGGGGGCTCCAAGAGCCCCAAGAGGGCTCCACAATACATGTAAATTCGATGTTGTGAAGCCGCGTGGTTCACAACCGTTTGTCGGCCCCTCCTGGAACCGTCTTGGTGCTCTCTGGGGCCCTCTTGTGGCTCTCTGAGAGCCGTCTTGGTGCCCTCTGGGGGTTGTCTCGGGCTCACCGCCGTCATCGTGTTCGCTGCCGTTTCGGCCCAAACGTTGTTGGCTGAAGTGCTCTTCATCCGTGGTCGCCCTTCTTCTTTTCGCGAGGGCCGTGATGACAGCTGCTGCCACGCGGGACGATCTGAAGGCAACGATCTCTCGTCGGAACGCCACCATCAGGGATCTGAAAAAGAAGGTGAAGCGTTTGGAGGCCAGTGTCCAACGCTTGCAGCAGGCCGCGGGCAAGAAGACGAAGTCCAAGACCAAGGCGCCCGCGAAACGCCGTGCTCCGCCCCCGCCACAGCCTTCAGCCACGAACCTCGACCTCTACAGCCGCTTGGTGCGCCCGCCTGCTGACCTTCCCCAGCCGTGGTTCAATTTGCAACGCCGTCAGTACTCGGATGTTTGCCTCCGCGAGGACGGGGTCGTGATGATGATCCGCTTGCTAAAGGAGGGGATGGTGAAGGTTTTCTACTAGATGGCCGCAGGCCGCAGTAGAGTGTAGACCGCCATCGGGCGGCAATCGGACGCAGTTGCAGCGCCATGTAGATAGCTGTTTGCGACACGCATCGTGCTTTCGGCATCACGGCTTTTGACGAAAACGATAGTTTGTGGTCGAGGCTTCCTCGGGATAACCAACCAAGTTGGCACCCCCGCCGAATATCCAGAGCTGGCTTGTTTTCAGTTTGCACGCCCTCCCCAAATCTCTGGCCATCAGTCCACGATTCAGTTTTGGGCACGCC